GGCTGCTGGCTCCGCCCGCTTCAGCTTCCCAACATGGCAGTGGTACGTTTTCCGCCAGCTTTGGGAGCCATCAATTCTCAGAAATAGTGGGTCTATGCTTCTTATCAAAGCAGCTTGTAGCCCAGAAACCTCTTTTTGTTTTGTACTAGCAAAGGCTAAATCCACCACGCAGCTTAATGTGCCTCTTGCAGAGGCCTCATTCCCGCCATACTGCAAGTCAAGCGCACACGCCAGGAACCCGCCAGGAACTCAAACTGGCAGCTGCTGCTCATTTGAGAGAGACAATTAGGAAGCTGTTTTTAGTTCCGTTTTAGAATCTTTTCTCAGGTTTTAGGTGGAAACTCTTGCCAACTCGTTGGGCGCCATTTGTAGCTAGAGTTTTCCTGCCTGGCCCACAGTCAGGACAAATCTTTGTCACCCACCAGTCCCACAGCTGCTCAGACCCAACCAAGTAAACACAGAGACTTATATTGCTTACAAACTGTATGGCTGTGGCAGGCTTCTGGCTAACTGTTCTTATAGCTTAAATTAATTCATTTCCATAAATTGCCACGTGGCTGGTGGCTTACCGGCATCTTCACATGCTGCTGATCATGGCAGCAGCTGGCAGTGTCTCTCTGCCTCAGCCTTCTGCTTCCCAGAATTCTCCTCTCTCCTTGTCCCACCTACTTCCTGCCTGGCCACTGGCCAATCAGTGTTTTATTTATTGACCAATCAGAGCAATTTGGCATACAGACCATCCCACAGCAGCCAAGCATTTATAATTAATAAGGCTCTGTCAGTTATTTGGGAGCAGGCAGTCAGGACAGGAAAACTGCCTACATAAATTGAAATGGAGGGAAAAGAAAAGTCAATCCACTTGTTATTTATCCAGTGCTATATCCATCTTGTCTTCTTTTCAAACCATTCTAGGAATTAGTCACCCTCATTTCACCACTGAGGAAACAGTCAATCTTGCCCAAGATCCCAAAGCTAGTGAATGGTACAGTGGCATTTTAATTTTTTTTTAATTTGAATGTTTGAGTAATTTTGTCTGCATGTATGTATGAGTCCCATGTGCATGCCTAAAGCCAGCAAAGGCCAGAGGAAGATGTCAGTCCCCTGGAGCTGGTGTTACAGATGAGCAGTATTGCCATGTGGGTGCCAGGTACTGAACTCCAGTCAAGAGCAGCAAACACTCTGAACTGCTGAGCCATCTGTCCAGCCCCATGAATCAGAGTTTTAAACCCAAATCTATACAAAACCTTTCCCCTTGGACATGCCAAACTAACCAATGACCTTGGAGAAAACAGACACTAATAGAGAAGAAACATTCTGGGAGTGGAAGTGATATTTGCCAATTGATTGTTCTTTTAGTACCCAATGCCAGGCTTATACCAGGCTTACACGGGTATTGCCTTGGCACAAAGGCAGTGAAGGCTTGGGCATGAGGAGTGGGAGAGCAGAGGCTTTTTTGGGAAGGACTATGCTTGAATAGGGCTTTTCTGGGAGGGTGGGGCTGAAAAGTCACACAGCAGTGGTCCTCTGGGTCCCTGTTGAGGACGGAGCTCCAGGGACCTGTTGGCTTGAGTAATTAATTACTCTTCTACCTAGCCATGACAAGTCTTGAGTGCAGAGAGAAGACAACTGGGTATTGTTTTGTTTTCTCGATGGAAGGAGTCACTGAAGGTTAGTGCAGAAGGAAGACAGTGTGGATTGGTTTGAGGTAAGCAGCGGGGTGGTGTTTGCAAATGGTTAGGGTTCCCATCACTATAGCAAGACTAGAGAGGACGGTGAGAGTCTGAACAGGATGTGGCAATGAGGTAGCGGAATCAAAGGGCTGTTAGACACTCGTCTTCTCTCCCACCAAACGAGACAGCAGGCGATTGTGCACTTGGCAGAGGCCCTGGGAAGATGACCGTTATCCACTACTCTGTATCGTTAGTGACGTGTATGCTGTGTGAATACTTCGCTTGTCAAACATAGTCCCAGTGGCTACCCCTCCCCCACTCTTCAGCTTCAGCTGCTCATTGCAAAGACCTGTAGAGCATAAACCAGCCATGACCCAGGGCTGGCCTGGGGCATCTGGCCAGTTCATCCAGGGTGATTCTGCAGGTAACACTAATAAACACAAGAGTGGAGCTTTGTTGTCAGATAGCTGAACCTGAGCAATAATGGACCAGCCAGGCTACTGTCCCTCAACTACCATGAGTCTTGCTTGGGATGGGCTAATCTCCAGGGCATCCATGTAGATTGTTGCATTTTGTGAGAAGACATTCCTTTGTGTCAATACAACTGCTAGAGGCACTGAAGTTCAGATGAGGCAATGGGCTCCCTGTGTCAGGACATCTGACTACATCCATCCACCACCACCACCCCGCGGGGGGGGGGGGGTCACGTGCTGTCCACTGAGTGTAAGGTTGGGGACCCGGGAGTGCTGCCAGATGTTCTCAAATGCCCTGCTGCTGTTTTATTTGCTTCATCATTTCTCAGATGCTTAATGTAGGTTG